GCTCTTCCGGACATTGTACGCGTAACCTAATAATTCCCCCGATAATTTCACGTAGCTACACGCACTTGTGTAGTGCTAGTACCAGAGCTTCCCATTTGCGGCCGTTTCCACTTTGTTTGACGCGCCTGCATCCGCATAACGAACTCCCTGTCCACTCGGTCGTTTGCCCTTGCCCCCCAGCCTCTCATTTTCCCAGCACTCGCTTATGCTTTTTTTCCTTCTTTAGAAACTCCATTATACGCGTAAAAGCAATTCGTAGCCTGAAATCGAGGGAGGAAGGGAGAGAGGGAGGGAGGGAGGAAGAGAGAGAGAGAGAGAGAGTGTGTGTGTGTGTGCGCGTGCGTGTGTGTGTGAGCGAGGGACGAAGGAGGAGGAGCAAGAGAGGGTAGTAGCTTTTAATGGAGAAAGGTAGCTTCTTTCACGAAGAGCGCAGGAGCTTCCTAATCTTTTTTAGATTTTTCTATAAAGTACATGGATTTAGTAGTTCCTTTGATGCAACTTTCATACACGCATTTTATTACTCATCTAATCGATTCTATATTTAAGTGGATGAAAATTTATGAATGAAAACATTTAACCATTAAAGATGTTTTAAACACATCATAAGATATCATTAAATAATGCTTTCTTCTCAGCTAAAAGCTTTAAATGAATTAGATTTTTAATGAATTTATTTTATTTAACCTTTTATTGATTATTATAGATTATGTGCATAGTTGTAAATATATACGCGCACAGATGCACGTATACTTACTATAAAGTGTGTAAGTATAAAATGCATATAACAGCAATTTTCATAAAATAATTATTTTTAAATCAACAAAATTTTCCCGTAATCATGTACTATTTTTATTGATGCAATTTTTCGTACATATATATTAGCCAATTCGCATAACCATTCTATAATCACAAAACAATACTTACGATATAAAAAATATTTATAATATTGATAACGAGGGTAAGATATTTTTAATCGAATGATTTTTCTATTATACCATTATTATGATTAAATTGAAAGTTATAGGAAATTCATACTACGACAGATGAATAATTATTTCCAATTTATACATAATATGAATAATAAATTAACTTTTTAATGAATCTTTTTTTCATTAGAATTTTCAAAAGAAGAAATAATTAATTTATATATATATATATATATATATATATGGCTTCTTTGAATTATCTTATGAAATGGCAAAATAAATAATACGAAACAAATTTTTTCCTCTAGATATCACAAACGGGAGTGCATAAGTATGTATGTACATATACATATGCGCATGATAAGACATATTGTTGACGTTTTACAGTAGATAGTAAATAATCTTTTGTACAGAAAATTCAGACAAGTTTACGCGAAGCGAAAAGAAGATAAGTGATTTAGTCACATCCAAGAAACCAGACATTGGGGTTCTTGTGTACTAAACGAACTTTCATCAATTATTTTATAACCTTTTACAAATTTATTTTTGTGAAGTAGTTAAAACTAATTATCGCGATTGAAATTTCAAAATGTTGTACGTAAAGTAAGTAATAAAATGGAATACAATATAAGTTCTAAATAACAACTGCTTAAACTATTATTTGTACTTAATTTATTCATTTGCAATAGTAGATCGATAAAAGAAAGTATTGGCTCAAATAAAATGAAACAAAAAAAAAATGTAATTTATAACTTTTGTCCAGGGTCAGTTACATCTATTATATTTTATGTGCTGTTTACATCAGCTCAAAAGCATCGAAGATAAAAGCAGTAAAACTTTCATCTGGGCATGATATGCCTATAATTGGTTTCGGCACTTGGCAGGTAAAAACATACAACCTTCTCTATTTAATTTTATCAAATTTAGAAGTATAATACAAGAAGGTTTACACTAAAATATTGACAAATCCGATACTTTGCTCTTTGAAGATACACCTTCTACTTAATATATTAATCAATCATGAAAATTTAATAAAGTGAAAAAATAATAATGAATCGTGCACAGTTTCTTCATTGAAACTGAAAAAATCCTTATCGTTTCATTTTATTACGTTCGTTAAAAAGTCACGGTTCAAAGGATCAAAATAAATGTTATAATAAAAAGAATAAAGACAATAAAGAAGTATAATCTATACAAGTATTCAAAAGATTTTCTTAAAGCTTCACTCGTCATCTGCCATTATCGTAAATTATTAGCTTCCGTCGAAGTTTAATAATTTTAAAAGAAGAAAAAAGCGGACAAAGGGGGGGGGGGAAGGGAAGACAATTATGGGAAAATAAACTTCATTAACTCCTTCGGAACTACCGAGCTTATCGATAAACAATAAAATTATCAATGCCAGATGCCACCAACGGCCATCGATGTCGCCGTAACCAGTGCACTTGAAATTGGTTATCGACACATTGACACAGCATTTACTTATGGAAACGAAGAAGCTATTGGCAAAGTGTTGAAAAAATGGTTTGATAAGGGCGGCAAGCGCGAGGACATTTTCATAACGACTAAGGTATAATAAAAAAAAAATTTAAGCAAGATTGTATTGTCTTAAGTTATTGAATGAAATGGAAATTTAACTGTATTTACCAATGCTCTCTTTCTTTATTTCGCATGGAACATTCTCATTTTCGGTATTCTCATAAAAATCCCTTTCACTATAAGTTGTAGTCGGGTAAAAAAAAAAAAAAAACGAGACTTCAAATTAAATTTCAAGTTAACGTTCAAATATATGCATCTACTTCGCGGAGCTTCGATTAGCTTCAAAAATAATAATTATAACTGAATTGATTAAGCTGCCGCCGTACGGAATGCAACCTTCAATGATCAAAAGTTACTTGAAACTATCGTTGGAAAAATTGAATTTACAATATGTGAATATGTATTTAATTCATAAGCCCTTTGCCTTCGTCAAAGATAAATACAAATACGAAGCTGCCAAATATGAAAATGGAAGCGTAATGTTGGATCTTGAGGCGAATCATCTACTTATATGGAAAGTACGTTATCACACAATTTTCTAACTATAACAATAAATCTTTTACACATCTATTTTTATATACGTATATCCAATAATCTCAATGTTGCATAAATAATTGCTCGATTCATCCGTTAAAATAAAAAAAAATACTAATAAATAATGCATTCATTAGGAAATGGAAAAACTGGTCAAAGCTGGACTTACGAGGTCTATTGGACTTAGTAATTTTAATGAAAGCCAACTCTTAAATATATACCATAATTCAGAAATTAAGCCAAGTAATTTACAGGTAAGAGGTAATTATTATATTCAAATAAATAATGCTTTCGGCTGAAAAATAATAATAATAATAATTTCGCAGGCCCTTTGAAATAATTAAAAGAAATAGCGAATTTTACTAAAAATAACCATTAAAAGAATTATTGCATACATTACTTAGCACGGGGGCAATTGTTATGACCTCGGATCCTCGCCGATCGTCGCGTTAGAACTAGCTCTCTATACACATGATTATATATAATTTACAAACATAAATAATTTAATGTAGAGAAGCCCGAATAATTTGCCAAATAATTATCTAATTGGATGAAATGCCCCGTTCCCGACTACTTGCCAGATAGAGCTGCAAGCCTACAATCAGCAGAGGCCAATGCGTAGACTCTGTGCCGAGTACAGCATCACCGTGACGGCCTTCAGTACCCTTGGCTCGCCCGGCTCCTCCGGCGACAAAAGGACCAAGCTGAGCCAGTCACTGCCGCGACTCCTGGACAATCCCAAGGTGAGCATAATCGCGGAGAGGCACAATCGGACGGCGGCTCAGGTGCTGCTACGTCATGCGGTGCAGAATGGCATTGTCGTTTTGCCAAAGAGTACGCATCCCGAGAGAATCAAGCGGAACATCGAGATATTTGATTTCTCGTTAACGGACGCCGAGATCGAGGAATTGAATAATCTTGATAAAGGCGAGCGTGGCAGGATCTTCAATTTTCTTGGCGATAAAGGGTGAGTCTTATCAAAGTTTTACCTATTAATATTATTCGTGACGCGGACTTATTTTTGGCAAAGAGTTACGTAATTACGATAAGGTATTAATGAAAAATTCCAATAATTACGGCAATTTGATTGATATTTATAGCGTTCTGGCAGGCTTTTCAAACTGTAGATTTCAAAACAGCGTCTTAAGAATCGTTTAAACGACCACGACAACTTATCATGTAAATAATAATAAATTAAAAGATAATTTACAGATATTCTTCTATAAATATTTTATAATTCTATAATTATTTTATTACAATTATTTATTGTCTTGTTATTCATTGTTTATTATTTATGATACGTATAAGTCGCTATCTTTCCAATTGTGCACGATAAATTTTCCAAACGAATGATAATCCTTATTATTATGAAGTTTTTGCGTAAGTTGAAAAAAATTACACGCGCGTATATAAGCACAAATGTTAATGAAATAAATGTGTTGATGTACGCGGTTAAGTAAATCGGCATTAATCGCTACATTTTCTCGTAATCGTCTTACAATGAAAATAATTTCGTGTAAACGGGATACCGCAGCATTGCGCGGTAATATATTGAAATTCACTTTTACTCACTCACTTTTCAATTAACTCGATGAATTATTATTATAGCATTCTAACGGCTTATCGCATAAATAAATTCTTTTCGAGAGAAGTATGATGTATGCGAGGAGTGGACGCTTCAAGGTTTATTTAAACTTAACCTATTACGTGAAAATATTGATAATGTACAGGTTACTGATAGCACATGTTGCAAAATTAGGAGAGAAACCCTGACTATTATTACTATCAGTACAATTACTCTAACAAAGATTACGGTGTTAAGGAACAATGAATTTAATATAATGGATTTGGTTTTATTTTAATAGCCTCCTTTAAAATGCGATAAGAGTTGGTTTGCTTGAAATTTTAAAACTCGTAATAAATATAAATACAATACTTCATACATTATAAACATATAATATATTCGGCAAAAATTTTTTTATATTTTAAGATTTTCATCGCATAGTGTTAATCGATAAGATTGATCTACATTTTAGATCATCATCAGTTTACCATATGTATTTACAATTGTAAATTATTACAAATTGATCTATTTTGATTTTTAGAGTTGAGAAACATCCACAATATCCATTCGCAAGTCAACTAAAATATGAAAACGTGAGTGTCAACGTACATTGACGGCACTATAAATCGCTATTCTTATAATAATATGGATAAATTTCTCACATATAATGCGTTAATATCATAGTCAATATGATAAATATATGTAGCATTAAATCATAAATCATAAATCCTAATTTTCAATCAAATAATTTTTGATAGACAAAAAATAATGTTGAAGAAAACTGTTTTTTACACATTTTATTTTAGTTAAAAATCTGTCGTTGTAAGTATTTTTAAAAAACGTATATTTTTATAAAATCTACATTTAATAAAATACATAAATACGTAAATAGAAGTTTTGTCGAAAACTATTTTAAAATGTCATATTACATCGTTATTTAAAATAATTAAGAAAAATGTACAAAAAATGTCATTCGAATTAATGAAATGAATTAGAGAATGAAAAATTGGTAGTTTCAATCGTTTCATTTAAAATAAACGATTTTTAAGAAGTTGTACTATTTTATATAACCAATAATTAGAATTTTAAGGAGGATCTATTAAGCATTGATACGTTAATATAATGCAATATTCCGGATATAAAATCTATACGAACATAATTTTCCAATGAAATGTTTATTCATTGTGCGCTTAAATTGCACAATAACCAAAATGTTTATTCGTGAACCCATTTGCTATGTATTTCTTATATAATGTCAAGTAAGAAACAATGTATCTGTGGTCATGCAGATTATAAGCTCCTAATAAGACCGAGTAAGTGGAGAGTAAAGTAATGTAAGCAAATAAATAAAAAGAAAGCCCAACCGGTCTAAAAGACTTTAGGCGACAGTTGTTCCACATAATGTATATTTATTTCCAAGTCATGCACGATCATTTTAACATAATTGTCAGTTAAAGTGATTTGAATTGAGGGAGCACGAGATGAAACATATGCCCCAGTCGTCGGAATGTCATTAAAATCCGAATTAGCCCGCTTGCCAGGAGAAGCCGCCCATTTCTATCCAAACACCTCGGGACAGCAACTCGCTCGTGGCATCCGATTACCTCCGGAATCAAAAAATCCGCAAATCCTTAAGAAGCCGAACGTCTCTACTCTAGGGCGAAATTGCTCTCGGTGTCGGCTCCAACTCCTCTCCGTTACTCCCTCTCATTCCTCGGGTTATTAGCGCACGGCAGCCGAAACGGCACATGTGCGCCCTCGCGTGCCGCCGACAGCGTCTCCTTTCTTTTCACGGGTTTGCATATAATATGCCCGGGGTGAAGGCGGCGCGTAACAGGTGCCGCCACTGCTACTGCCACTGGCCCACTCGTAAGAAAAAACAAAAAGAAAAAAAAAGAAAAGAAGAAAAAAAAGAAGAAAAAACGAAGAAGGAAAAGGAGAGGAAGAAAAATAGAAGGAAGAAGCGGCGGTCGTTAGCCCTCTCGATGCCCCCGTTTCACGATTTCCTTTTTCTCGCTCCTGGCTCGCCATACGTAATTATATGGAGCTACCTTCTCAGACTGCCGTATTTGTTGAATTATTGCTTTTTGGTAGAAATAGCCCCGACGTAGAATATAAACTATCCGTGCGCGATATTATGTACAATTTGCTTTGACAGCATCGATCGTCGAGTGATCGTTAATGCTTATCCAGGCAGGCTTTACCGATCGGGTTTTGGACAAAAAGAAAAAAAAAGAAAATTAAAAAAAATTTACGCAATCGACGATTCACTACACTCGCTACGCTTGGTAATTGGCTACAAAATTTCAGATTTTTACTAGTGATTTTTCTTTCAGTGAGTGCGAGGTTGAGTCGACGAACGATGAAGAATAACGGATGTTTGCTAAAATGATATATTTATTAATGTGCTGATGTTGTAAAGATTGTGAAAATAGTAATGATTTGGCAAATAGTGAAAAGTCAGTTTTGTAAATAAGGAAAGCCAACTTGTTACACTGACGATTGAGATCTCTGTATTTGAATGAATGGAGAGTTGCGTGAAATGATCGTTTTCGTTTATTGGCATATCCTTAAGGACGTATTAAATGGTCCGAGACTTGCATTGAAAATTACTTTGTAGTGCAAATATCGCATATCGGATAAGAATGTTAAAGATTTGTCGTTATTATTATTATTTTTGTTGTTGTTGTTGTTGTTGTTGTTGTTGTTGAATTTAGCCTTATTTCGTGCAGACTTATGAACCATACACCTGACAGCATAAAAAACGCTTTAAGCTTTAAATAAAATACAATGTCAATCGATACAATTCTTTAATCTCTTCTATCGTCTAAAGTATCGATCAAATCGTTAAAAAAATTCGAGAATAATAAGATGTAATATCCTCAATTATTAACCGAATACTAATGTTGTATTATCGCGGCTAGAATATCCGACTCAAAGAGGTCAATCTTTCGTAACCAACCGATTACAAAGTTTTCCCTCGTTGATTGATTATTTACATCTTCGGCGTTGATTGATTTTCTATACTCCGAGCTCTAAACGATAAAATACTAAAATTGACTTTTAACGTATTAGCGCGAATGAGCATTTTACCATCGTTATTCCTTGCGGACTTGTATTATCGTCTAAGGCAAGGACGAGCGACATACGACGAAGGCGGCGCTTCGACCTTGAATCGTGGACATGTAGTCGTGCATGTCCACCTCTTCCTTTCCAGCTCTCACAAGCCTCGTCTTCAATTTAAAAAGAAAACTGTGCATTTATGTAGAAGGTGTAGTCCGTAATATGCACCACCTGTCGTTCTCATGAAGAGAGATACAATATTACAAATACATTTACTTTAAATGCGAAAAGGGTCGAGAGTCATTTGTCGCCTAATGACCAACAATTATTAAGTGTAAAAATGACGAGTGCACAATAATTTATCTTTATCGTTATTTACAAAATGATATCTCGAATTATCGATTCAAATGAACTCTGAGCATTAATTGCTATAAAAAATTCATTTTCTCTAAACATTCTATTGCATTTTTATAATAAAATGTGTAATTGGAATTATTAAATTTATCATCTTTAAGGCAAATCTCAACAGCATCATTTTATAATAATGAAATGAAAACGAAATTTTATGGCAAATGAGCCGTTACGTTTATTATAATTAATAACAACATTTACAAATATAACCTGTAATTATAAATTTAATCATATAAATCAATGATACTAATAGTAGTTTTATATTCAAATATATATATATATATATATATAAATACATGCTGAATGTATCAATCATTCACTTCAACATTTCCTTAGACAAATTTTCATGTCTATCTAGTTTCTTATGTATGTCTTTTTTATTTCATAAGCGTATCGAAATGTTAGTTGAATGTGTGGCTCATGCTTAAGAGAAAAAAAATCTTAGACCTCTACGCAAGTCTTCGTTACTTACGCTAATCTTTTTTCCACCGTACGTTTTGCTATCGACCGTATGTGTTGTTGATGAGAAATCGATTATTTTGAGAAAAGAAAAAAGACAACCTGACGCAGATTCGAGAGAAATTTTTTCTAATGTGCGTTTATGCTATGATGATAAATGACCGTATATATGTGGAGATGTGTGGTATAGTCTATTTCCCATTAATACACGCGTACAAGATGTTAGAGAGAAGAAGGGGGGGGGGGAGATGAACGACGTGAAAAATGATAAATTTTCATTCCATATAAATCATACATAAAAATATCATTATGCACGTACTTGACTTGGTTAAATGAGAATTTCTTTGACTCGCTCACTGTTTATTTTTGTAGTAGTACTAGTACTATACAGTAATAGTACTCAAAGTTAATTATGTAAGATATTTTTTTCAACAATCTATTAATATAATAATATTTACTTGTGTAGTTTACACACGTTCAAATATATATATATATATATATATATATATATATATGTATTGTATTTAAGTGTATTTGCATCGATATGTGTGAAATATTCATTTAATGACTTTTAATCCATGTTTGTTGAAAATTGATCTTACTTTACTAATTTATTACATTTTTTGTTTCAACTAATGTTCTACCAATAGCAATATTTATATCCAACATAATTCTATTTATTCTATAAATTATCGCGTATGAGATGTAATTTCGATTTTATCGAAACGTATCGGTGGTTTACTTAATGTAATAAACATCAAAAAAAAAAAAAAAAAAAAAAGATCTCGACTTTGATTTCTAATTGAGTAAAACTGTGTATCCTATCTCCATAATACCAATAGAATTATTAATATTAATATTTATTAATTATTGTCTGAATTATTTTTAATTAAATAAATTTTATTCAGTTAAAGGTCATATGAACATGAAGATTGAATTGTAACGTAGTCTCTACACTTAAAAATAAATAATAGTTTTTTTTATTCACCGTTATAATATTCAGTTAAGGAGCAAATATATATATTGTTCTTGATAAATATATTAACATATTAGTATAAAATTATTTATTATAAACTGATATTGAATCGATTCTTAATGACCACCAATTTAGCATTAATGTAATAATGATGTTCGAGTGCAATTATTTGATTAAGTATCCAAATTATTCAATTCTATAAATTATTTACTAATATTTATAGAACTCTCTCTCTCTCTCTCTATCTCTCTCTCTCTCTCTGACTTTAAATAAAAAAATAGTAACTTTTATTTAAATAAATTTACGTGCTTTAATGTATAATATTCTCTGCATTTACAAATGTTAATGCACTCTGTACTTAACGCTAAACTACCTTATTACGTAACACTCTAAGGTATTTACTTCACGATTTAATAATTGGTATTTTTACAACATTCAAGGAATTTATCAATAAATAAAATTAAAAAAAAAAATAACAATCACGGGAATTACGAAAGCAAGTGAAAATAAGTAGTAGATTCTAAATTATAAAAGTAATGACTTTACATTCGTTTAAAGAGCAAAATTGAAGAAACAAGAGTTCGGGAGGAAGAAAAAAAATCAGGTTCGTGAAATGAAATGAGTTAATTAATTAGTTTTTGCAATCTGTGAGGTAATAAGTTTTCCTATTTGTCAGGAAGTACAAGTATCCTTTAGCTGAAATCC